AGCTTCACAATTTACAAACACAATAATATATCTTTACTTAAAGCGCATGTGACTGATTGGAGGCTGACGCTATCGTTTTTGTTCAAGACTGTATTATTTAGCATGTGCAATTTGTCGTTGTGACTATACGGAGTTCAACAGTGATTTAGCTGGTGCATTGATTTCCGTTCTTGTTAAACACATAATCACATTAGTTATCACAGTATACGGGATTGGACTGGGTAAAGAAAACAGTATGAAGACTCAGTCTCCACTTTACAATCTGGGGTTTTCCAGGATGTTTGACGAATCCTCTGTGGTTTGAAAAACAAAGTTTGTGATCATCAACATTCGGTTATGTTTTCTACACTTATGGTTAGTTCGTTTATTGTCCTTTAAAGGAATATTAATGATTATCCTGAAGATCAAATCCCAACGGTGAATCACAAACAACAACAAAAAAACACAACAGCAAACAACAAAACACATGGACAGAGCCTCCATCCAATCAGAGATGAACCTTGCAGGTACCTTGTCTGTTATGGTTATAGGTAATTCTGTGTTTTAGAATTAAATTGTGTTTTGTGAACGGTAGATTTTCAGTTTCACAACACAACAACGCACATTCACACTCACCCTCACAAAACATGTCCCATGAAACTAACAACAGAGCAAGACCTAGCAAACAGTACACATCATTAGACTGTAACAATACCAAACAAGGTCATCTCATAAATATCTGACTCTGAAGGACAGTAAAGAGCTGGGTTAGTGGCGAGATGTCTTATTTAGTATATAAGTGTTTTTCCAAACCTGTCGGTTGTGCCTGTTTCCCTCCAGATGGCATTATGGAGAAGTTGCCTGGGAAGTTGTATTATTTTTGCTTTGGTTTGGATTATGCGTGTTAGTTTTGTTTGGTTTGTGACAGAGGGCTTGTTGAAAACTAAGATGATCATGAACAACTTGCTGGAAAAATCCAGACACAAAGATGTTTGATGGATTGTTGCGTCTGTGTTGCAACAGCATACCACGTCTCAACCACGTCATAGTTGGACTGGTGAGACAATTCATCTGTCTCTTCATCATGGACAAAAAGCCTCAGGGAGACGGCTCGGTCAAACTACATCACTGCCTCTGCATTACACATAAGACGACCCTCTGGATCTCTTGGTCAGAACCAAAAGCAAAAGTATTTTTCCAGGAATACACCAGGCCCTGCTGTTCCCAAACTCCACTTTCCTCCTTCCCTTCCTTCCTTCCTTCCTTCCTTCATCCGTCCAGCCCTTTGCTGGCGCTGCACCAGACTTCCCTCAAATTCCAAGCATCTGGTAATTTCTGGGAAACACTCGAGACGGGACCGTCCAGCAAACCACAGGAAACAAAGCCTCTTGGTTTCTGCAGCAGCTGGATGAGGTGCAGTAGTTGCCCTCAGGAGGAGTCGGCCACTAGGGCGACATGGTTGTAGACTTTCTAGGAATTATGTTATGGATGGAATTGGAGTGAAGCTCTTTATTGTTTTTGTGTTTACAAGACAACTTAGAGTTCTCTGTCAGCTTTTTGTGTTTTTGTGCAGTCATTTTTTCTGTCCTCTCTAATTAAATTACCCATTTAAATAGAGATTTAGGACATTAACAGAATAACTGCTGTTGTCAGAGCAGTCAATGAACAAAAGGGCAGCTGTTGCAGCTCACTATTATCTCCATGGGCGTTGATAATTGAAATACCTAAAAAAGCTTTTCCTACTATGCTAAATGTCCAAGTTAGTAATCAGCTGATCTAGTTAAATAAAGGCCATTTTAAAATAAAAAGTCTCAACACTGTGATCACGCTGAAGTTGTCTATTCGTAGAGTTGCTTGCAGTCTTTAGAGGAATAACAACTTCTTTACACCTTCAGGGGCATGATACACTCCCAGCTGTCTTCATTGTACTCGTTTTTAAAGTCCTGTGAATGACTCACTCGTGCTCTCAATTTAGAACGTGAATCAACTGTGGCGTCAGAGGGAGACGTGAGAACACAGGAGCAGCAGATGGCTTTAGCTTTGCTTTATGAAAATATTTGACAGGCCTGGCTGCGAGCAGCGAGAGCAGTTCTCAGTGCAGGTCTTTGGATTTTCACAACAGCAAAGACAGTCAGTTTTAGCTTTGTGGCGATGAACAGGCTTGTTAATAAGATGAGGCTTTACTCACCGTTCAGGGAACCAAATGCAACAGCAGTGGAGGATTTGGTGTAACAACAATATTTAGCCAATATGCAAACTTCTGCAAAAGTAAGAGCTCAACAAATATTGAGCACCTGATGTTTTCTTGTCTGAGTTTTGAAATTCTGTCCAGCGTCATCTTGGTTTTTGAAACCAGAAGTAATTATATTTGGAGAGGGGGTGGAGCCCAGCTACACCTACAGCCTTCAGTGATGAAACAAGTGATTGAGACTTTAAACAACTGGTAGAGTCTCCCTCTGCTGGTCATTTGGCACTTCCACGTTGGCTTCACTTTCCAGAATCCATTTTTGTGTAATACTGTAATACAGCTACTACTGTTAAAATTGCCTTTTTAAACTCACCTTGCAGGTGAGAACTTAAAGCTCAAGTCCTCAAGGTAGTTTCTTGTGTCGTCCGTGGAGCCTCAGGTCAAGTTCTTCAGTTTCCAGAGTCAAGTCTCAATTCCCGACTTTTAATTCTTAATGGTCGGATCAATGAATATTAATGGTTTAGTTGACCAGTGTCTGTGTAATGGTACTCTCCTGTGTTTCCACCCTGTGTCGACTCATTTGAATAAATATTAGAATTCGTGCATAGTAGCACATATTCCATAATCAGGGAAGAAACTTTTGTTGAGTTATCTTAACTGAAAATATTGGTTTGACTTTGACTAATGATCATTTTCTGTACAGTCTAATCACTACAGAGATTATTTGATGAATCAATTTGTCTTATAATTTCCAATATATTTTCCTACCACCAAAAATAACGTAAATGAAATGTTTCTTATTCACCAGCAGTCGTAAAAATCCAAACACATTTGACAAGGAACAATTCATCTCAAATTTTTGCTTGAAAATTACTTAGATGTTTAGCGGAATAGTTTTCTGTCCACTGATACATGAACCATTGCAGCTCCACTTTGGATATAATCAGAAATTTAAAAAAATCAATAATTACAATCTGATTAATACAGCACTTTGCAAACACATAGTTTAAATTTGCTTTTCATTTTTGTAATTATTCTTTCCAGCTTCTACATCTCCATGTGTCTTTCTCACATTTTTTTCTGTATCTCTTCTTCTGTTTCTTTGGCCTTTGTGCCTCGTACTTTTTTCTCACTTCCTGCCTCTGCCCACATACTGAGGTTTGTGTGTCAAATGGATCCTGAGGTTGTTAATCTGGTAATCCACCACAGATATCAGCCTGATTTCTTCCCAAAAGATAACTGATTTATATTATTATATTTTCCTCTTCGAAGGCCGTCGGCTGCCCTTTTCCTTCGTGCTGTATATTTTTTGGTCCCTGGGATTCTTCTGCTGGTATTGATTATGCACTGGGCCTTTTAGACCCATAATTCTCATAAAAAGCATGTGACATTTATACTGAGTCGTGAGTCTGGATTTGATTTTCAGTTTGAAAGTAATGTGAACTGCAATATTTGAAAAAATGTTATTCATTAATTTCCTCATGATTGATTAATGGAGCCCGTACAGCACTTCCTATAATACACAGAATTATCAACATACTTTGTGGTAAAGAAAGTGTGTTTTTCTACAGCTGAACTCACTTAAATTGAGAATTGCACTGGAGATATGTAATTAGGTTGTTATTGTTCCAGAAGGAGACGTCAGCCTCCTCGGTGGGTTTTTGTGAAACGCTGTCAAGTGTAACAGATGAAATGCGAAACCTAAACTCGTCAAAGTCACGGCTCTATTTTCAGACATGGAAATTGCCAAAATATAATCGTGTTCCGTCCAGTAATTTCATTGTGTAGTTTTTTATTTTTTCGGCTGCAGCTTCCTGCGGGACTCGTGGTGGATTGTTTAAATGAAAACCAAGCTGAAATGCTAATTGAGTGAAAAATGAGGCTCCTGAACTCGTGGCCTCAACGTCACAGAGTTAACCGTGAGGACTTTAGGTCAGTTCCCATCAGTGTGTGTGTGTGTGTGTGAGAGAGAGAGTGTGTGTGTGAGTGTGGGACAAAAAAGCATATGTTTTTACATCTCTGTGTTCACACAAATGTGAGTGAAGTCACTGGAGATCAAGCAAACACATTTAAAAAGACATTTTTGTGATGTTGTTGGTCACAGTCGTGGTCGTTTAGAAGAGATTTGTGTCTCCAGTGTCATCGTTTGATGTTGCACAGGAAGTGGTTTTCTCTTCACTTGAGACTCCTGCTCACCCCCTTCTCATATTATCATAGTGTTGTTCTTTACAAGTGAGCAGTGAAAGACGAGGTTCACATCAAAACCTAATGACTCTATTATGATTTAACTCTCTCTCTCTTTTACGATAAGCTCCACATAAAAAAAATGCTTTAAAATAACCAATAAATGACCTTTCTTTTTTTAAGTCACACAAACTCACAGCTTGTGAAAAGTTGCACATTGAAACTTAGCTGGTTTTAAGGTCGAGGGTGTATTTTGTAAGAGAAAGTTTTTATTTTCAGGACAGGTTTCTTTCCAAGTGGTAGCTCCATGTGCAGCCAGTAGGGGGAATCGATTCCTTGCGCTGCCGCCATCCTCTCCTCCTCGCCTCCTCTTCCCTGCATTCTCCCAGGTTGTGGAAACACTGCAGCCCGCTGGTCTGTGTCTGGATCTCTCTCTCTCTCTCTCTCTCTCTCTCTCTCTCTCTCTCTCTCTCTCTCTCTCGCACGGAGCTGCCTGAGAGGACCCTCCTACCGGCTGGGGCTAGAGCGAAGGAGGAGGCTGCTGCTCTGCTCGCCGCCTCGGACGAGCCCCCTCTACCACCCTGTCAGTGTTGGAGGAGGAGAGAGAGAGAGAGAGAGAGAAAGAGAGAGAAAGGGAGGGAGGCTGAGAGTGATAGAGAAAGCACACGCACAAGAGCGAGAGAGAGAGAGAGAGAGAGCAACTGTGTGACAGAGGGAAAGAGAATGAGGCAAGCTGCTTAGAGGAGTGAGAGAGCCAAGGAAGAAATAAGGAACACATTTTACAAGAGCAGGAAGAGGGAGGATCGCAGACGAGGGACTCCTTCTCCACTGGACACCTGGGACACTGTCACTGTGGGGTTTTTTCACTCGTCTTCTAGCTGGAACCCAGTGGATTGACTAACCGACCGGTGGATTTCTTTTTAATACACGCGTCTGCCTACATCATTCAGAAACTGGGATCATTCCTCTGTGTGCTCTGTCCTCTTGCTGTCGATCGACCGACCACATCTCTCCCACTGACTGAGATTTGCTTCCTGTGCCGGGCGCTCATATTGTCTCGATTCTGCTCCGTGCACAAAGTGCATCTGTCGGCAACCGGTGCTGAGGATATCTCCCCTCTCTGTCAAACAGGACAGCACGCAGCCACTGTCGGATCAGACTACAGAGGAGAGAGAGAGAGCGAGAGAGAGAGAGGGAGGGAGAGTGTGTGTATGTAAGAGAGGGAAAGAGAGAGAGAGGGGCAGTGAGAGAGAGTCAGATTCACAGTGTGTTTCAGAGAGAGGCAGATTAAAGCCCAGGCAACAACAAAAAAGACTGGAGTGAAGCAGCTTAAATAGAGAAGTGAACCTATACGTCCTCTTCCCGTTTTCCTTGCCATCCCTCTCCTCCTCCTCTCCTCCTCCTCTTCCTCTCCCATTCTCCAACATTTTACAGGACTGCCAGAGCTACTGCCACCTGCACCGCTTCTCTTTCCTCCTCTTCCTCCACCTCCCCCTCGCCACACTTACAATCCGACACCGGCCGCTGACAGAGACGCTGAGCCCGGTCCCGGAGCACTTGTGGAAATATTTCAATTGATCCAGCAGTGAGAGACTGAGCGAGCATCCGCCCCAGCGCTGAGGCTTCCGGACCGTTCATCAGGACCTTCTCCACGCTGCTGTCCCCCCCGCACACGCAGACCCTGCCTTCTCCCTGGAGGACCGGTACAGCGACACAGTGGTGCGGACAGCGAAGACAGGAATCGCTCAGCCTCCTCCGCTGCCTCCATTCCCACTGCTCGCAATTTGGCAGCTCCCAACCCGGTGTCACCATTCCCTGCCTCTGTGCTAAGGATTCCAGCTACATGGGCAAGCGATTGGAGCAGCAGCCAATGTACCCTCAGTACACCTACTACTACCCCCACTATCTCCAGACCAAGGTACGCTGCTCCTCTTGCATCTCTCGAGCCCACTCATCTACTCCCACACTACTTTACCACCTGCCTCCCACCTTCCCTCACCCTAACCCTCGACCTCACCACCACACCCTCCCCCACCTCTCCCCTTCCACTGCACTCCATTCATCCTCCTCTCATCCCTGAGTGGAGATGGGAATTGATGGATAGGTGGCCTTGGCTGTGATGGTTTCAGATGGCAGGTGCCTTGTTGCGGTTTAGATGTCTTTGTCAGTGTGTGTGTGTGTGTGTGTGTGTGTGTGTGTGTCTGTCCCTGAAGTGAGGGATCAGGGATCAAGGCTGGAGGCATTGGACAACTGTTGGTCCAGCCCACTGGACCGTTACTGGGAGCTGTCCAGTAACGTCCATCCATCCTTCACCTGCTAACTCATAAGCTCCTGATGTTACACACTGCAGTGACGTGCATGTCAGTAAACATGTTTTGGCGGATTTAGAGGCTTTCGTTAAAATAACTGGCAGCTCTGTTTGCGCAGTCATACAATGAAACAAATGACAGAATTAGGACCGAGATTTAATTTACTCATGAAGTATTTGCAAGCTGAATGTAGGCCAGTGTTTCAACGCTCGAGTGCCACTTTTCTGAAGAGGCAAATAAAACATCTATTTATGAAGTTGATAATTCACTAAAAGGCACAAATGTCTTATTGTTATGTTTTACAAAGAGGAGATGACGGGGGTCTGAACTCTTCCTTGTCTGTTGTGATGTCAGTGGTTATGTGTCTGACAGATGCAGAGCAGGCATGAGGAACGCTGCCTGTGTTTGCTCGAGCTGTCCTATGCATCAGTGCTTGTGGGATGGAGGCTCAGGCCTGGGCCCTGGTGGCTGCCAGGACACTGGCCGGGCACTTTACCCAGACATCATCAAGGGATTAAAAGGGAAGCCTTTTGGTGGATTACTCAGTTTTTTTCTACCACATGTGAAACACTCATTTCTGCCCATGGTTGTGATGGAGTGATGCATGGCAGAGGCTGAACGAGCCTATATATATGTATCTACATATATATATATATATTGCAGTTTATAATAGTCAAGTCACAACCAGCCTCTCAGTATGATATTAGTACTTATAATATTAACTTATTTCCTAAACGTGACCTAACTATACACATATTGCAAATCATCATTTTCCCTTTTCTTTAATAAATTAAATCAGATTTTTGTCCAATTGTTCAATGCAAAAATTTGCTTTTTTACTTATTTTTTAATTCCCTGATGGTGATTTGGAAACTTTTCAAACTCTGCTTTATATAGTTATTCAGGAAAAGTTTTGTTTATCTCAGAATCGTCTTCCATACGAAAGGTATTGAAAAATGTATCGGTTTACAAACCATTTATTGGCAGCGTGAGAATACTCAGTACCAAGGTATATAAGTTCAAATATGGAATGAGGAATTCACGAGGAGGAGGAAAGTTCAATAAATAATCCATCAATAGATTTGATACAGCAAAGAACCATTGATGTATTGATACTCCTCCATGTGGAGCTGTATTTTGAACCTTTGCGACTCCAGCAGGGAAGACCTTCCTGCAGCTCCACCTGGCAGTCCACGAGCTCTCCCTGATTTATAGTTTAATACATTTGTGCTGCTGCCATATGGCTTCCCTCTCCCTCTCTCCTCCCCCCTCTGCTCCTTCCATCACCCCCCCCCCTCTCCCTCCCCCTTCTCATATCGCAGAGTTACTCATCTTGGGGCCCTCTCAATCAGGGTATGCCCCTCCATCCCCCTCCTTTTCCACCCTCCGTCTTGCTCTCGGCCTCCCTGCTCTGTAGCAACAGGGCCCCCTGCCTCCTTCGCCGATGCTGCAGTTCACTCCCAAGGTCAGCGCAGATCCGATCTTGCCACCGTCAGCGATTGATGCATCCTTGATCGAGGCTGCTAGGGTCCTGTGTCATGCAAACGAGAGCGGCGGCGGGGGCACGGGGCCGAGAGCGGCGCGCATTTCCGTTTATAAATCAGCAGCCAGCATTCATTTTCATTTTCATGGTTAGTAAGCATCGCCCGTGGCCTTGTGGGTTGATATGATAGAGCCAGAGACGGGGTCAGTGGGAGAAAGGGAGGCGTGGAGAGAGGCCAGAGTGTTGGGCGATGTGGCCGAGAGGGCTGTGGAGAGCTATCTCACACTCTCATTAATGATCATTGATAGCTCGATTACAGCGAGGGGAGAGGGGCCTTGGCTGGCAGGTTCACTTCACTGCCGACAAAATCACATGGCAGTCACTTTGATTTTATGTACACACACACACACACACACATACACACACACAAATACACAGCCACCCCCCCCACACCCATCCTTTGCACACATTCCTCAGCTCAGATTTAGCCATCAGTCTCAAATCACAGGTATTTTTGTTCGTCTTCATCGCTGCATTCTCAAGGTAGAGCCTCATTCTCCCCAGACATGTGGGTGGATGGTGGTGGTGGGGCGTAAATATCTTGTAGGGAGGGGGAGGGGGGGCGTAACTCAAACCAAAGTATTGCCATTCTCCTTCTCTCGCCTCCATTTTATGACGCATATTTGAGATTCTATGCATAGGAAATTTATAGAGCATCTGTGCCTGGTTATAACTGAGGACTTTATTGTAAAGAAAGGAGCTAAACATTTTCCCAGTGGTCTGGCAGAATAATTGGAGGCACCTTCTGACTTTGGGGTCCCTCTCACCCCCTCTGCATGAGAGCGTGTGTGTGTTATATTCTAAATTAATGGAGTTATCTTACGCGGTCCGGTGTGTGCTCGTCAGCCCAGATTAGAATGTGAAAGTCAGAGAATGAGATAAAACAATAACATTTGGCTTACTATTGATTAGTGCAGTGGGGCGTAGCATGTGCTTCTCTTTAGCTGAATTATTGATTGCTGAAAGAGGATTTGTGTGTGTGTGAGCATGTGTGTGTGTGTGTGTGTGTGTGTGTGTGTCTTATTTGAGCTTATGGCTGGGGGGCTGGCAGGATGCTGCTTTGATGAGAGGATCCTTTAAAGGCCCTATTTCTGTCCAGGCCCCAGCTGATCAGTTCACGGACTCTATCGCTGAAATCCGGCCTTTGCCCAGTGCGCGTCCCTCCATGTAGGTTTGATGTTCACAGCTTGCTGTGCATTCAACTTTAATGGCAGGTAATAGATGTGCATCATAAATGAGAAAATTACAGTAAAACGTCTGACTCCGGCCCCAGCCCGGCCCCTCCCTTCACCCATGAGGACGATTACAGCGCACGGATCAATTATTGTTATTTTACGATGGTGTTTAGAAAGGAATATGAATTCCAACTAAATGTGCGTACTAAGTGCCTGTTAGTGAGTCCGTGTATCAAATTTTCTCCCAATGACAGGCATTTTCACTTCTCCGTTTCATTATTGCAAACACAACTCTCTAAAGGAAGTCTCAAATTACTGTTGTGATAGTTGACTTTAGTGTTGCTGGACTAGTAGGTACCTAACGCTGCTTTTACCCTTGTGCTGCTGCACCGTCGATAGGCAGGGTCATTACATGCTTAATGTCAGCAATCTCTCTTACACACACACACACACACACACACAAGAAGGATGCACTAAAGTACATGGAGAAGCACTCGCATTGGCATCTGGGTACGGACAGTCGCCAGAGTTGAGTTCAGGCTCAGATATTCAGAACCCAAGAAGCTGCAGAGGGGCAGCCTGAGGTAGATTTAGCAGCGGCGAATGTCCCCGGCCTTAAATAAACACCAGTCAATAGAGCCCTTTGAGAGGATCTGTGCCTGTATCTGCCCCGGCCATAGGCCCCATTTATACCCTGTCTAATTCTTAATAAATGGAGGGAAGGATGGAGGGAATGGGGCGTATCTCTTCATGTGAGAGAGGAGGAAAGACAGAGAACAGAGGGATGGATGTTGTAGGCAGGGAGGGGCCAGTTAAAAGCAAGGAAAAGGGTTTGGTTACATTACGCAGGGCTGGTCCATTGTGTTACAGAAATAACAACAGAGCCATCTAAATCCTCCTTTAATGCTTCGATAGAGGAGAAGGAGAAATGGAGACAACAAGGGAGAGACAGATATACATAGACATGGAGGGCAAGCGAAATCAAAGGCAGAGCAAAAGGAGCCGTTTGCAAAGTCTTTCATTATATCAGTTATCAGTTGCGTAAAACTCAGCTAGCAGCTTAGTCCCCCTCTGTCTCCGCTGATGTGGAACTGCTTTGAAGAGTTTATCAAGGGCTTTTAGGTCTGGAAAAAAAATACACGTTTTATATTACATTTACCAAAGCCCGCTCCTGGTTTGAGTCTGGGACGACATGCTCTCATTAGCACTAAGACAGGGGCAGCATAACTCATTTCCCCTCTTGTAATTCTTGAAACGTGCTTCACGACTGACTGCCCACAACAAAATACTGTCCCCGCTCTGCTGTAAATCTTAACCCATCACTCCCCCCCCCCATCTCTCTCTTGTGCCAGATCAAATTGACAGACTTGTTAGCGAGAGCTCCATCTTGCTCTTTCTTCATATTTTGCCAAACCTCATGTGTCCCGGGGGCTTTTTCATTGTTAATCAACTAATAGGTCTTGTTTTTACCTGCCATCGCCTATGGCTTCAACCAGCTGCACAATCCTTTAATGTGGAACTGTCAGTCAGAGGGCGCAGACAGCTCCATTTGTTTGCTACAGACTGTGCGTGCGTGCACAAACATGCACTCGCTCTCACGCTGACACACACTACAGTAGGGGGTACTCTTAACCCTTCTCATCTATCAACTGGCAGCCCAGCCCTATCCGTGCACCCATGCTTTAAGGTTGCGTGTGCATTACCATTTCCCGCAGCCTCTCCTACGCCACAAGAGCAGAGTGCTAAGACCCGGCCCTCCGCATGCTGCTGTCCACATCTCATTACGGCTGCTTTGCCGGGCTGCTCGCTCGACATCCATTTTGATAGAAGAGCAAAGGAGATATGTGAGAAGGGGGATGATGAACAGTAGCATGTTTTTTTTTCTGTAAGC